CATGCAGATGCTACACTAGTCCCCTACTTTTTGTTCCCTCTAACGACTGGCTGCTATTTCCTGCAAAATTCCACTGAAATGCTTACACGTTATGAAAGTTATCCAAACCCTTTAGAAAACCAAACAGCATTTGCATGGAACACAGGGCTCTCCTGCATATTGAATTACTGCACAATATCCTCAGGGTAGACAGACTTGTTAAAGGGAAACTGTGTAAGGGACCTATTTTGACCTGCCTTGTGTTTGTGATCATATATAATTTTTATGTGATAGATTTAGAAAGAAAAATGGCAGAATAGGCTCTGAACTCTATCTCCTGAAGTTAGCCCCCTGGCAGATGTGCAAGTACCCAGGGGCCACACTCACAGTCAGAAGAAAACCCTCTGCAGGTCATTGTCCAAAGTGTGGGCACAGCCACCTGCCACCCCATTGTGAAGAAACACAACCCATCTCACCTGTCTCCTCCTCAAGTTCCAGGTGGCTGTATCTCTGCAGAATACTTTCCCACTCAGCTGCCTTAATTTAGTAAGAGCACAAGGTCTAATAAATCCCTCTCCAGCTGTGTCTGCCCAGGACAGACGGGTTTTTGAAATGCTAGTAACTTGTGAGGGCCAGCACAGGAGACATGCTGCTGAAGAGCAGGACTTGGGCCATGGGGCTCTCTAGGTCCATCTCTGCTGGAGATCCCAAGGGAGCCCAGCCTCCTGCAGCACCCAAAGAGGCCAGGAAGCTACAGGTCTGTGGTACCCTGCAGCTGCCTGCCATGATGGTTCCCAACATGTCTGTCCACCAGAGAAGCCAAGGAGAGCTACTGCATGCCCTGCACAGCACACTCCCCCAGGCCATGTGTTTTTGTGCACAGCCTGTGCATGGGACTTGCTCTGGAGAAAACCAAGATGAATCACAGCCAGACTTGGAGACAGAAAAAGGCCCCAACAGGTAATTACGAATATTTCTGTTTTGTTCAATGTATTTTATTGGGAACTTTTTATACCTTGCCAACAAGCAGGCTGGGTTTTTTGGTTTGGTTTTTTTTGGGGGGGAAGAGGGGAGCAGTGGTGTAGTGTTTACAAAAAATCCCCGACAACAACGTCATCAGCACTGCAGAAAACAGCCTACTGCTCACACCAGAAAGTCAAAGCTGCCGATCATGTGTTTGGTGTAAAAGCGAAAAGAAACCTCAAACCCTGCATGTGAAAACCACATCTGCATTATTAGGGGAAGACAGCATGGGGCAGAGTGCTTCGCAGAAAAGGAGCCGTTTCTGAGGGTTTCTCGATAAGCGAGACAGAGATGCAGGGTACTGACAGGGCTCTGAGAGGTTCAAGGGAACGCTGCAGGCTGAATCAGCTACACCAACCACACACCTCTGCCTCTCTGTGATCGTGAAAGATCATCAGAGGAACATTAATGAAGACAGTAACGACCAAAACAACAACACCTTATAAGCTCTGTATGGTCCAAGTCGTGCATAGAGCAACAGTCCCATGATGGGAAAACATTAATGCTTTTTATATTGGTAATCATCTGTAACATGAGCAATTAAGTACAGTACTAATGGACTATAGCCAAGAGCCTGGTACTAATATTAAAAACTGACAGAGATGAATAGGTTTGGAAGGAAAACTAGGCTGACAAAGACATTTTTATGAAGTGCTTGGGCCTATTTGGAATAACCCAATCAGAGGCAGGTCTAGACCAGCCATGCCTACAGTGACAATAACGTATTCATTGGCATTATATGATGCCTGCTATGCTTTAAATAAAAACACTCATTGCTTCTACTCAGAAACCTGCACTTTCATTATTATACTCATTAATAAAACAGAAGTTGTCTAACGAATATATAATATAACACTTACTGAAACACTGGCAGCCTTGCCTTACTTTAAAATGAAAACAGTTACTGGAAACAGGAACTGTATTAATGATAAATGAATCAGCTGAAAACGCACACAAAACCTTTCTTTCCCTTTTACCAGGGAAACAAAGAAAACACCGCCCCAACTGAAGCACTCTACCTACCTATAGCACACCAGCAGCTACCACCACAAACCCTGCTCCAAACAGCAGGGTGCAGAGCAACACATTGCCCAAAACCTTTAAAACTGGCTTTGTTCCAGCTTTTGCCATCCACTGTACCATGAATCTGCAGCCACATGGTAGCTTTGCAGAGGTTATAAACACCTTTACAGAAAGCAGTATTTCTTCATTGGATTTGGTAGACAGAGACAATTTTGCCCTCTCCAGTGCTCATATTTTGTGTTTGGGTTTTGTTGGTTGGTTGGTTGTTGTTAATGGGTTTTTTTCCCCCTCTCCCTCTTTTCAGCCTTTGAAATTGTGTGTGAAACTCCACCTTGCAAAGGAGAACAGGAGAGGGCAGGAAGAAGGGATGGCAATGCCTGAATTGGGACATATGTACCATTGCACTCCTCAGCATCCCAAGGATGTCACTGAAAGGTGGCTGCCACCTGAACAGCCTTGATATGCTAAAGCTGATGCACACAGCCAGTAACTCCTCCTGGGAGAGAGCTGGTTAACACAACATGGATGCCCTTGAGATCCAGCTGTAGAGATGAATGGCAAGGCTAAGTCAAACAGCAGCAGGGCCAGTGAAGTCTGGGAACTGCCTGTTCTGCCTCCAGTAAGCAAGGAAGGGCCAATAGGATTCAGAAAGGAAAAATCAGGAGATTTACATAGCATTTGCTTTCCAGATAATTCAATTTCCAGTTTAGCTGTACAGTTTCAAGTTTGAAAATGTATGTGTGTCCTGAATCATGAGCGTGTGTATTCCTGCACTACAGTTCTAGTTTTAGATTAAATGTCATCTGAGCACTTTGCCTATAAATGAGCATTACGTTTACAGGTGCTGTAGTTAGAATTACCTGCTGAAACAAACCATGACAATTTCATTTACTTTTTTTCAAGTCTGAGGCTTCATACAGCTTTCCTGTAGTGAAAGGAAAAAGAGCATCTAACACTAGAAAAGCAGAGACTGGATGAGTTACTGAGGTTTTTTGTATACGTGTTTTGGTTTTTCAGAAGGGATTTAGTGAAGAACATTTTAGGTAAGCTCAGGGCTAACCTGAAAGTCCTGAAAGATTTTTTGCTCCAAATGCCATCTTTTGATAGCCTGCCAGGGATGTGGAAAATTAGGTGCTGCCTCATATCAGACTTTATACAGAACTACATGATAGACTGGCATCCATGAACTCAGATTTGAGTTCTTCAGTGTATTAAGACCAATCTAACCATAAACTAGAAGACACTTTCCTCAGACCAGATCAAGTCAAGCAAAACTGCTTTTGGGTAGCCTGGAAAGGCTTTTCAATTTGGAAGGCATCAGGACTGTTCAGGTTTTCCAGACAGCACAATGGGTTTTGTGGCACTTCAGAGCATACCCAAGTAACTGCTGAGTCAGTCACACACAAGTCTCTATGCATGGGAGTGCAATGCAAAGCTTTTACATATTAAAAACACCCAAACCACTAGCAATGAACATAGTCAGGAAAGCAGAAGAGAGAGAAAGGGGTTCATGGAGTATTTGTGAATGGCTCATTTAGTTTTCCACAACTACAAGTGATGTGCTCTCTCAGTGACTCCAGGGCTTCAGCAAGGCTCCCTCTGCAACCCAAACCCACAGAGACCTAATGCTCATGTGTGCCTGAGTCTCCTTTGTCCAATAACATCCCCCACAGAACATCTGGCAAGGGAAAAGCCACACTGCCAGTTGGAAACCCATCAGCTGGCTTGGGTGCAAGAGGAAGCTGAGACTCTCAAGTCTATAATGATGGGGGTGGAAGAGCTGAATATCCACAATCTGATGAGTCAATAAAACAATCTATAACATTTGTCTGCAACATGAAGGCAGGGAAAAACCCCATCTGACATGCACAGCAACTCACTCACTTCACTCTGCTGCTTGGCTCAAACTCCAGAAAGCTTCTAACATTTTATAATGGCAATCATTACATGCAACTCCTCTGTGCACCCAAGGCCTTCTGCTGGAGATGTCCCCTGTAAATGAGCATGATCAAATGCCCCACCCTCCATGAGGATGGCAGTATGTCTCTTTGAGAGGCTGACACATCTGGCACTAAGATAAGGAGAGAAAGTGCCCACTGAACACAGCTCTGCTGTGCCACCTTCTGCATGGGCAAGTACAATCTCTTCCTGAGCCCAGCAAATGACTTGTTTATGCCGAGGAACAAGAGACTGAATTTTACTTATCTGAGCCGAAAATTGCTGAGTTTATTCACATTTGCTTGTCTAAGAGAAAACAAAAAAAAAAAAAAACCCAACAAGAAAAAAAGAAGAAAAAAAAAGATAAAAGAAAATAAAAAGCCCCAACAGTTGTTTCTAAAAACCAAATCAAAACAACATTCCAGCTCCAGTATTTTATTCAATGTGTTCTGGCTTCACAAGCCCTGGAAGTTATTATCTACATGGGAAGAATAAGAATTCAACAGTTCTGACCAGCAACAATGGCTGCAGAGAAAGAGTGCTTGGCAGCAGCTCGCAGGCAGGGAGGAGGGAAGGAATGCCATGAAGAAGAGGAATGCAACGCTCGGCATGACCTACAACACTAACAGCACCCTGCACTATGGGCCACCCCATTATTTTGATCAAAACCACAATCTGTTTAATTGGTATTCCTAAAAAATGATAAAAGACAAGCATTTTCATCAATTAGCTGCTGTTTCTTATTTTTCCTCGAGTATGTTTTCCTCAATTTTTCAGCTTCTTTAACTGAAAAGCTGTTGCAAAAATTAAGATCTATACCAAAGAAAAATCTGATGCTTTTTTTATTTATTTAGTCACTGGAGAAAGACACGCTGGTTTAAATCACAATGGATTATCTGACTAAACTGTTGGGGAACTATGTACTAAATCTTAAGACGACTCTCTCTCCTTTTCTCTAATTCCATACAAAATGCTTTGAAGGCTTTCCAAATTAATTTTTTCATTATTAAACAAGCATTTCAGATTTGTTATCTTACCTTTCATAATGTCTACGAGTACATGTAGCAGCACTTGTGCTTCCAGGGTTACCACCTAATTCATCATAAATATGTTTCCATTGTCGACGGGCTGTTATCTGTAAAAATGGCAATGGAAAATTTAATCTTGCATCTTTACAGATTCTACAGCATTTGACTTCACAACAACAAATGCACATATGACACTTTCAGAACAGCATGTACTACGAGCACTATAAAAGCCCCTACAGAATATATAGAGTACACAGAGCTTTGGGTGTATTTTTTTTTTGTAAGTTAACACTATGTCTATTTTCTTTCTCTCTAAAATGGAGTGATCTAACTGATTCATTATCAAGTCACAAGCAATACAGACTCACAAAAGAATCTCAATCAATACAGGGTCATTAACTATCAGAAGTTATGCAGACAAATCCCACAGTGAATTATGAAAATGAAGCTCAAATCATATTCAGCACAAATAATGATTACATAGTTATTTTAACTGAATTAGAGAAAATAAATCTGCTGCAAAACCCAAATCCACCACAGAATTCTGTAAATCCACAAAAGCATAGTCCGTAACTATATATGTTACAAGCTGTTTATTTTTATCCATTTATATCTGTAAAATATACAGATCAAATAGTACTGAAATCTTAACGTACTCCAATGTTAATATTTGAGCTGTGTACTTTATTGGACCGTGCTGATGAAAATAAACATCTTGTAACATATTGAATTGCATACCATGGTTCTGGGTTTTTTTGTACAGAAATTAGGATTACACAGAATAACAGATGGAAGACCTGGCAAAAGGATTGTTTCTGAATACCACTTCATTATTTTATATATTCTGCTATATTTAAAACAGGAAGAGAAACAGGAATAGGACAAGCACAACAGATCACCCTTGTTTGCCTGCAGCTCATAAAGAAAGCCAGTAGAAAACTGGTGGGGGCAATTTGGGGAGAATTTTGTCATTTGCTGTGGAATGCCATGGATTTTAATATATTCAGCCCTGGAGGCTTCTTTGGAGTTACCCACAGAGCAGTCAATGGCATTTACTGAGGAGGTAAAGGCAGCAATCAGAAGAGAACAAATATTACAACTTGCAATCAGAGGCCTGTAATTTTAATCTAAACAAGAGGAGATAGCTACCATCATTAAATATTACAGGGTAAGAGATATTTCTGTTTCACTCAATAGAAAGGGAAAATCCTTCCTTTGCAGAAATTATTCGCTAAAGCCAAAAGCATAGTTGGAGTCTTATCACTTGATAACATTACAATTTCTTCAAATTTATTGTTTGCAGAGTTCTCCAAAAAACAGCAGTAGCTTTAACTCACTATTGGCACTTAAGCATAGTTTACACCTATAGATACTTTGGGGGAAAAAAAAAAAAAGGTGTTTTATCTTAAACCTTACATAAAGCTAAATGAACTGACTTCATTCACTAGTTTTATTTCCTGTCTTTTATAATAAACCCAAAGACTACCAACACAAGGATTCAAGCAATTCAAGGAGAAATTCCACACAAGTAAGTTATTTAAATACAAATCAAACACTTATCTGATGATAAGGTTCATACTAAGTCTGTTTTGTTTCAGTTCTTATGCTGTCCCTTCCTCAGTCTACCCACACTTATTATTATTACTACTAAAGTGCTTGAAGAACCAGAGTCCTATTGAGCCATAAAGAACATCACATCCTGAGAATATGAATGGATGCTCCTTATGCCACCTAAAAAGTCAAATGAGAGTTGGACCAGGTATCCTGTTGTGGAGGAATGCCTGGATGGGAAGCTACCTCTGGTCCTGCCTCCCACACTCCACCATTCCTCGGGACAGACAGCACAGAGGTGTGGCCAACCAGCCCTTGCCTTCTTGGAGCTCCCAAAAATTCACAGATCCCTTGAGGACTCCTGCAAGCAAACCTCTGACAGGATCCCAGATGGGGAAATGAAGGTGCACAAAGCTGCACTGGGGTCTGTGCTCTGGCCCTCTGACAAGCACAACCTCACTGGGCTTGCAAAGATGCCCAGGACCTGAAACCTCAGCTAAGAACAGTGATGCTGAGCAGAAACTTTAAATGAAACCAAGGATTAGTTAGCAGGAGGACTACTGTAAGTCCCCCTTATAATCATCTTGATGTGACTGAGAAACACAGTCTCCATTTTCAAAAGGAGAGCTTCAGAGCCTTAGTCTCATTTATCATGAGCTGACTCAAGAGCTGATACTCAAGCTGGAACACTAGTAAACATAACTAAGGGGAAAAGTGAATCCCTTTGAAGTCCATGGATCGTTTTTTGTGTCTCTTTCTTCTAAGCTGCTTAGAGTAATAGTATTTTCACAAACATTTGCCCAGTTCTAGCCAATTCCACATCTGCAATGGACCAGAGCTCCTTGGCAATTAACTGAGTTGTGCCCTCCCACAGAGGGAGTTTAAATTTGACATTCCCTGAAACAATTGTTATTCTAACAAAGCCTGGGGTTCAGTTTTGCCCTGCTCTGGAAAGTTTATTTTTTATGCTTAATAAACTTCAAAGGACTAAAGGAACTGATTAATTACATCCTTAAACAATCTGTACAAAATGCTTCACTGAGGAAAGTGCACTCTTGTCATGCAGGACTGCTCAAGCTGGATGTTCCTACTGACCATGTGCAAACTGAGGGCCTTTCTCATACAAGTTCTTGCCAGCACCTTTGAAAACCTCTGTGAAATCTTCCCCAACCAAGAGAAATCCGAGTTAAGCAAAGAGACTGGCCTGTCTAGGGATGTAAGAGCCGATCTGATCTGGTTCCTATAAGTACAGTATTATGCAGTGAGTGGTAGTAAAAAAAACCCCCAAAAACAACCACATATAAAAGCAATGATCTTATCTATTAAAGCAGAAGGCTGTTTACAAACATGCTTTTAATGGTGTCTTCTGCTTTGAGAAATCTTAAGGTCTTCTGCACTGCAATCCTACCTCCTAGCTCCCTTCCTTGTGAAAGGCTTCTTGCTTATTTCCTGCTGCAAACATAATGGGGGATTTTCTGGTCATGGTACATGATGTTCACAGCTCTCTTCAGAGCTCTGGGAATTAGTTCTGTATGAAACAAACCCAGTTAGCTTTGCATTCCACTGATACACCAGTTTCATCGGGCCTGCCCAGACACAGGACCGATGTATGCGTCAATCACTAATTTTTAAAAATTAAAGCACTTCATTGTTGCTTCCAGGGGGCAGCAGCTAAACGGGATCCCACTGACCTTTGGCAAAATCTAAGCTGCTACATACTGAAGGTTAAGCTCCACCTAATTTTCTTTTTATCCTTTATCTTTCTAAGACATCTCCAGGTAGAGTCCATTCAGCAGCACAGCCTTCTGCAAACATGCCAAGACACTCCTTTTATGTTGGCTCAAAAGGAAAAAATGCTACTTCATAATTTGCCAAGGACAACTCTTTAGGAAAGTCCTGGAAGTTTCCCATCTATGAACTTCTGCACCTTTTACTCACTTGACTTAGGGTGACTGAGAAAATTCCAGGCAATGGCTGTTAAATGCCACTGCAGCTGAGCCCCCTACAACATGGCATTGTCTCATATTTCATCCAGTGATTTGGGGACATTTTAAATCATTCATACTGTGAAGGTCTGCTATAGAGAGTGCTTTCCAATGCACTCTCCTATTATTAGTAACAAAGATGCTCATCTCACATATCTTTGTTTAAGAGAAATATGATTCCACCAACTACAAAGAGACAGCTTCATCTGTTAAAGTCTTAAACCAGTTTGTATGGATTGCTGTTTTTATTAAGCCTTGTTCAACAACAACTACAAGGGAGTGTGGTATTACACAGTTATAGATGACAACTAAGAATTAGTAATCAAATGGAGGAGAAATGACACTCTTAAGGATTTGAAATGGAGAGCACTTAAATATGACACATGATCATGACTTGACACTATTAGATATCCTGTATGTATATCCCATATACAAAGGTAATGCTCTCTGTCAAGCCTCACTGGATCCATTGCCCCAGGGGGAAAGTCAGATGGCTAAGAAAGTTCTCTGCATCTCAAATCCAATTCCTGCCTGTTCTCAGTCACTTTTAGATCCTTAACTGACAGGACAGGACTCAAAAATATCACAAAAATCTTCTGTGAATCTGTGCAGAAGCTGAAAAACACCACAAATGATCCATGCTTGTTTCTCAATAATGTTTTTTAGACTGCATCAAAACACGTATATATGAACAAAGTGAACAATGCAGTGGATAAAATTAAAAATGGGTAGACTATAACTGTTCTGCCAAATAAAAGGATGTAAAGTTTGCAACTGCTTTACCTGGGAAGGTTTCTATGCTGCTTAAAAAATTGTCATCTAACTACTTTAAGTTTCCACATGTCATTTTAAGCAATCTTTTATCTATTTCCTGCTCATAAAATGGCTGTCACATGTTGAAGTCAAATTTCTACTTTTAAATATCATTTTCTTTACAATACTTCCAAGAGAAAAGACCTATTTCTATCTCAATGCTCAAACCAGAAACCTGTGAAATTTTAAAACCAATTAAACATGATGAAGCCCTTGTAATGGTTTGCTCAAGTCAGATGGAAAGGGCCAGAGATAAATGCATATTAAACAGGGCAGGTTTGACAAAGCCATTGCACTCCACAACTTCTCCTCATCAATAGATGGTGGCACTGTGTATGAGAGTGCTGGATTCTGCTCAACATTGAATTAAAGCACTCACTTGAAATTTCTGCATCTAAGTAGACCTGCCTAAGATCCTAGAACTGATAACTAAGGTCCATGTCACCCCTACCATCCACTGACTTGTGAAATATGAAACAAATAAAACACAAAAGCTTCTCAGCAGGGTTTGCCATTATAAACTATATACAAACTAATGCAGTTGGCAAACTCAATGCATATAAACTGGCCATAAAATAATAAATCCCAGGGTGTGCACAGGTCAAAGTATTGCAACAGCTATCAATATGATACTCAGGGAATTTAAATCAAAGGCAGATCCATATCGAGGATGAGACTGTTAACAGAAGAGAATGAGGTCAGGAAACCTCATGCTCCATATACAACCTAAATTGCATCACAACAGTCTTCCCAACTTCAGCTTGCCTGCAAAGAGCACAGATGCCACTCACATCATAGAAACAGGACAGGCCCATCGTTTCAGACACAGTCACTCTCCAAAGAAAGCTGGGCTCATGGCAATGTCAGAGGGTGTGAGCTGTGCTTGCCTTGACATTTACTGAATAGGAGCAATTGCTTAGTTTACTCTCTATGAAGAATAAGCACTGCTGGTACAGTTTCATTCAAGGTGACAAATGCCCCTAAACAACAGAGAAAATCTGTCACTGAGAAAAGGACAGGAGCTTTGAGAGAAGTGTGGACTGAAGCTACTTTGGCTGACATCCTCATGTATGTGATCCTTCCTCTCTGATCCTGTCACCTTCCTCAAACCTGGCTCTGTGGCCTTGTGGTCACAAATTCACAATCCTGTTCTTGCTCTCCCTCGGGTATAGAGGCTCACCTGCCCCAGCTCGTGTAAATCCATCCCTCTCCCTCTGGCACTAAAACTCAGGCCTCTCCAGCAAGCCACCACTTTGGCTTCCCTGCTTCTGTACTCAGTCCCCTCAAGCAAACCTGAAACATTGCTGTCAAAATTGCTCGTCTTCCTGAGCACTCTGAACATGCCACTCTCCCTTCAATCTCCCTCCTGGCCTTCCCTGGTGCTCTGGATCAAGTTCAAGATTTCAGCCCTCATTTTCGTTGCACTTTACAACTGGAGCAATTACAGCTTATAATTGCTGTAACGATCTATCTATGGTAGCTATTCATTCATACATACCCATGAGCACGCCTACACACACCCCTGTACATAAGCATGGTATGTGCTGATTAATGAAAGATAGAGCAACAGTAAAAGCCAAATCAAGCATATATTTTTTTAAAGAATGTTAGATTTCATGTTTTACAAAATCCCAGGCACACCCATGCTAACCAGCCCAGGCTGCTGATGTACAGAGCAATATGCTTTATTGCAAGGAAGGAAAACAGTGAGTTCTGCATTTTGGTTCAAATGACTTTCAGTTTCTTGATAGTGCATTTCTTCTTGTCATTTCTCTACAGAACAGATATGTCCCAGATTACTTCATAAACAAAGCAAAAATAATTTCTTTCATCTAACTGTGGCAGGAACTGAACAACTTAATCTGATCATTGTGTGCGAAGAAAATATTTCCAGTGACGACATCTTCCTATGTCAATTGTTTTTTTATTACAGATGTCATCTCGATGTGCCATATTAATGCGGCTCTTTCTTCTCATTTCAAGATTTTAATCTGAGTTTGTTGCTCTAATATTTTATTGGTTCAAAATACATGCTGTAAAATCCGTGGCCATCAAATTTTCCTGTGAGCTAAAAATAAACCGCTCTCGTCAGATATGGTTAGCTGATAAAAAGTGTCAGAGACTTTTCTGAATTACTTTGATAACTTCCTGTTTATGTGATACTGACCCTTGTCTAATAAAGATCTTTTACACTGGGAATAAGAGAAGATTCTGCAGCATACTATTCCTTAATGGACAATGCTGATTACTTTTGAAAGCCTTTAATACATTTCCCATATTAGACATGAACAGATGTCAGGGATGTTGCCAAGTGAAATTTCTTTTATGCAATCTTGGCTTGTTGTACAATAATAGCCCTTTCTCAACATGGGAAAAAATTACAGACCTAACTAATTTCCTTGACAGAGAAGAGTTACATATGTTTTCCACTTGGAGTTTTTACGACAAGTTTACAATTTTGCCAGATCTGGAACTAATTGGGACCATTTCCAAAAATGGCCCAATAAACCCACAATGAGTACAGCTAGTCTAAAATGCAGCAAATGATTGTTTGCTTTCACATTTTTTTTTTAACAGGGAAAAGTTAGATTGCACAATTATTTCATTTAAGTTACTTAAACACTTACTGTTTCATATCCTCCCAGTTTTTGAGCAGCTTGAAACATAGTCCAAAGGTTAACTGTTAGAGGGACAATAAGTATTTAGATAAGCATTGCATTAGCCAACATATTTCAAAGAAATGTAAATTAAACAGTTTTAAAAAAAGAAAAATAGAGAAAAAAAAGCTCACAGTCCCTGAAAAAGCTCCCGCAAAACATTTTCCAAAGAGGTATTTACATAATCTGAAGAGTAAATATTAGCCCATACTATATATATTTTTAATTACATATAAGAGAACACACTTAGAAATTCCTTAACAGGACTGGAAAAATACACTGAGACAAAGGTAATGGGCTCATTTGACTTTGCTGATAAGAAACACAGTATAATGACTATAGCATGTTTCCATAACTTTGATAATAAAAATTACTCACTGGGAAGAATGTTACTTTTAATTATTTGTTTAATACCGGTTTCATTAGCAAGCAAGCAAGCCCCACACACTGGCTCACAGAGCAGGCCTATTGATTAGACAATATCCAATATTTACTGCAGCTCAGATAATGGGCTCCATAATCAATGAACAATAAGCTGCGTTCTAGCCGGCCTGCGTGAATGAACCCAGATGGAGCACGAATGAGCATTACTGGAATAATTGTGCTGTGGCTGGTTGTGCCTTGCCTGTGCCTGTGGGGTCAGAGCACAGAGGCAACTCAATTCAAAAGATGTGTTGGGAGAGAGTTGTTATTTCCTGCAGAACTTCTCTCCTCTCACGTGCTTTTCATCCTGGCCCCCTGTCCCATGGGGTCACTGCTTGCTGGTGTCTATTTTATTTAATTTAATTTAAATTTTTATTTTAGCTAATTTAATTGTTAGAAGAAAAATCCATGTCAGTCCTATCAAAGTTGTGTGCACAGTTTCACCAACAGTGATTCCCCAGACACACTACAAATACTTGAGGTCAGCAGTAACGCTGCAGACCATGGAGAATGGGATCTCCTTCTCCATGGGGGGATGCTCTGCTGTACTGTACGTTCTGCCTCTTCCCAACAACCTATTTATATTGGCAATGTTTGCACAAGCCTTGCTGGACAAATACAGAGCCCCATCCTGCAAACATTTCTGCTCTTCTCGGCATACATTTGGTATTTAAGTACTTGCCGGATCAGGCCCCTACTTCATAATGAATGGCAGGCAAGTTTCAATGTATTTCAGCTAAATGTTAGCAGCAGGCCCTACCCCCAGTGGGCAACTTTAGAATTAATACTTTAGCTTGTCTTTTGAGCCCACCCTGTCTCCATGCTTGATGGAATGCAGAATAATATGGGGGGGTGGGGGAGAAATAAAAAATTTCTTCAACACAAAATGTTCTGAAAGCCTCATTGAACCTTGTACAGCTTCAAAGCTATCAAGAGCTTTGCTTAGGCCTTGATTTAATCTGCATCAATGCATAATGCAACGAAGCTGTTCATAGTACATTAATTTTACTCCCATTTCAAGCAGCCAGTTTTCAGACAAACACTGTAATCATTCTGAGTTATATAAGTTTATAATGGCTGCTGGAGGCCTGTTGCAATCAGTGCCAATTGCTATTAGGTATGTAAATTGTTATGTAAAACATACAGGTTTGACATTCTTCATCAAAATAACACATGGTTTTAATCTAGGAGATAAATTAGAGTAAATAATATTTCAATCCATGGTGTTTTCCCTTTAAGGAAATAAAGCATCATTCATTCTATAGATAGGAGGAGAAATTCCCCCATTTACAGCTTTTGTTGGAAACTGTGAAAGATCTACATTGTGCTGCAATATTTATGCAAAATTCAGTTTCAACTGTATCTTCTCCACATACAATTAATTTACAGATTGTGGCACTACAAACTGTACATGCCAAAGCAATTCTCAAGACTGTATTCTGTATTAAGCAGATACAGTCTGGTTTTATTCTCCAAAGTCAGTAATTTATTAACTAGAAACACATTTTGGGGCTTAAAAATATGATTCTTTTTGTGCCTTTCTTGACCACCTTTAAATGTCTTCCTTTAATATTTGTCCTTTCATAAAGAACATCTGGGCACAATAAAGAAACGTCATATTATTAACTCAGAAGAAAGGCATTACAGACGCTGCAGATTTACAAAACAGAAAACTAGAGAGTTTTCAACATGCCTATTTCTAGTCATAATCAGTGGATTTAAACCTATAAATATCCGGCAGCAACTACCCCAGAAGGAAGAGATGCAAATCTAGGCATAAGACAGTGAAATGCCTGGACTGGAAAATGTGTAGAGATAAACATGGTCCCTCCCCATCCATAAGGCTTTAAAATAGGCTTTGTATGCAATTGCTTTCTCCAGAGAAGCCAAACCATTCTAAAATGTCAACAAGAAAGTGAGAAAAAGGATACTTACTCTGCTTAAAACCTAAATAGGGTATTCGTTCAATTGGTGTTTTCCTTTCTTTCATATATTTATAAAGAGCCACAAGGAAAGCCTGCTCATCAGCTCTGCATTCTTCACCTATGGCAATCTTTGATTTATCCTCACTTGAGCCTTTCTTACAGTTGCTGTTGTTACTCTTGGGTTTGGGCAAAGCTGACTTAGCCTCACATTTTACCTGGGAAAAGAAAAGATGTCATATCAGATCTGGGTAATCTTTAATTTTCACTTAAGGAACAAATACCCTCTCCTAGCAGAATGGATTGTTTAAAAAAACGAAGGCCAAACCATGCGACTGTATTTGAGGGGAAACAAAGGAAGCTATTTATAGAGCTAAAATGTCTTGTTCTGAATCTTAGTCACAACATTTTTAAGCAGCCACATCTTTAAATCATTATAACTCACTGGTAATGCTCTCCAGATCTGCATTTTTATGACTATACATTGCTATGTCACAGCTTCTATCTCTCACATACACTTGCCATTAGCAAGTCTAATAATAACCCTTGTTCCAGGATTGACACTGAGCATTGTCAACTCCCGTAGACAACCCTTGGAGCTGAGGGTGCTCAGCCCCTTCCAGGAAAGCTCAGCAGCCAGCTCTGAAATGACACATTCTTCTCTCCTTTGGCCCACCAAAATAGATGCAAACCATGGCAAGCTTTATCCAGGCAGAGCCCTCAGCACACAAGTGGAGGTTCTGCTGTAGCATGGACTCAAGTCAAGTGTATTTGAGCATCCTAAGCATTTAGCAGAGGGGAGAGGCTGGTAGCTGGACACTTTCCTGGTAGACACTGGCATCCCCAATGCCCGTGAGTCCTGGAGCTCCAGGTGTCCCACTGGATTGCCCAGCAGATGTGTGCCAGTCAGGAAATCAATAAATTGGAACCACTTCGCCTCTCCTCAGTATTCATACACGAGGAAAAATACCCAGTGAGACTGGTTTAATTCTGCAGTCCCTCTTGAAGATAATCCTCTCACTGAATGAAGCAAATTACAAATCGAGTGTTCACTTAAGGTACGTATACAAAAAAAAAAAAAGGGCAGAAACCTGATGTTTAAAAGCTGTACATCACCAAGACATTGGGACCATGGGATCAATAAATTTCCAATGAAATACTGGAAGTTCTCTAATACAAGGTAGTGGAGATGGTTACATGTATTTCGGATTTGCACTGTCCCTTCAATGCTTCTGAGTGCTGTCAGGAGCCTTCCAGTAGTTCCATACCCCATCCAAGACAGGTCCTTTCGTGCTCCCAGAGGGAGCAGGGAGGCTCTAAGAGCCATCACTTGGTATTTTAGGAGGATACCAGAGGGGAGTGGGGTATCCTGCTGTGCAGGAAGGCAGGAGTTCTTGCTCAAGCAACCCATGGACCCTCCTTCAGAACTGTCACTTCTAAACCAGCTGCTTTCTGGATATTGTTGACAATTTGGAAGCAACTGCTATGAAGAGCATTATGTAAGTGCTTGTAAACAAATATCACTGGAAAGACCACAACCACAATATGCTTATATTATCTTAATAAAAGATACTCTGGCATTTCAGGCTCAGGGAAAGCAAAATCTTTATACTGCTCCAGGTATTAACTTTGCAGAGAGTACTGAGTTCAGGTGATCTGCTCCACAGTTTTCCACAGATGCTGGACAAAGCAATGGTAGCTCCTAAGGAGAGTGGACAAGTGGTCACAATTTTCCATGGCAACTGATGCTGCTGAAAAACCTCCACTATTGGCTACTGCAGGGTACAGGCTCACTCCTCCCAGGCAATGCAGCAGGGACTGGGAAATGGGCTTCCTGTGGGGTTTTTCTTGATCACTTGCTGCTGAAGTATGTCCAGTGTACTGCTTGATATTCTCCAATTGCACAGTTCAAAAAGATGTCTTCCTACAGCACAAGACACCATCCTTTGTGTTTTAGATGAATAGATATGCCTGTTGATTAAACTTTTGTAAAGATCATTGGTTTCATCCAAAGCTCAGAGGAGCTGAACTGGTTTTTTTTCCTATTAAATGAACTTTGGACTTCCTCATCCACTTTTCAGGTCAGCACTGTAATTCCTTGGCTTTTTGTACTTTGGCATCTCACAAAAATTATTTAGCAGCTTCCAAAGTTTAGATTACACTGTCATACGTTTCAACGCTTCACCAAAGACTGGGTTAACACTCTCAAAAGGAATGCATGACTTCAGTAATTCTAGGACTTTTAATTGGAGCTGCAAATTTGGAACAAATTCACTGGACCTGGGAACAATATTTCAGTTTTCTCACCCACTTGCTTGGATTGTTTTTCAAACCAGACAATTCAGAACAATGTTTACAAAGACAACCTGGGCATGAACTCTAAGTGAAATCAAAGCTCACAGCTGTGCAAGCAAACTAATGGCAAGGGATACTACCCAACAGGAGACAAAGGCAAAGTAATGTTAAGAAAGCTACCAGGAGTGGGAAAAACCCGTGGTACACACAACCTTCCTCTCAATGTCTACAGAGAAGCAAGGTCAAAGCCCCTGTGGAAATCAGAGGTGTCAAAATGCAATGGGCTGACTCCAATCAGTATTGGGTTCAACAAAGCTCTGGTGAAGGCTACAATGCTTCATCTGCTCAGCATTTGAGGTCCAAACCTCACTTCTGGAACCTCCCCACCATCTGACAGGCAATATGGATGAATGCCATGACCAATGATTAATGAGAACAAAAAGGGCCAAATGCCATTCTGGGCAACACCAGTGTAAATCCAGCATAAACATATCAAAATCAGTGAGAATGATACCAGATTTGCTCCAAGCATCACAAACTGCCCTTTTCTTTCAAAACACAAACCCAGTGCTACAGCTGGGTTAAGCTGGGTAAGATGGAGGTGCACTGAGATGGGGTCTGGAACATCTGACCATCTCCTGCTGTGCGTTCCATCAGAGGTGGATGATCCATGGCCAAATGGTCAGTGAACACTCATGGGTACAACTGTGTGTTTGTCTTCTCCTGCCAGAGGTCACACACAACACAGACCACAGCAGATCTGCACTTTACAGTTTCCATCAGATAATGGTCGAGGCACTCGGAATAAATCTGCAGGTCTGAGAGCACGCCAGGCCACCTGTTGCCACAGGAAAAGCATATCCTGGCAACTTCTAAACTCATTTCCCAGATCCTGTCGTACAAATTAAGTGAGAGGTTTACTTCTGCAATTGCACTAGGAGATGTAATTAATAGATCCATTTGGGGACAATTTCCATGTTTAACAAGTTAATCCCTTCAGTTCCTCAAAATGGTCAGATCAGCCATTTTTAAGAAGCATTAGAACATACTTTAAATTGGGAACACTCTCTGGGAGGATGAAGCAGGTACAATGAGGGTCATCTGCTGGAGCCCCCAAGTTCCAAAAGCCTGTCCAGTACTGATGACACATCAAGTATGAAAGCCTCCAGAGTCCTAGGAGTGTTTCAAGGGAAGATCTTGACATATCCCTCTCCAGGAGAGCTGATCCTGCTGGAGTACATGGCCTTGTATTCCTTTCCCAGCTGTGGAGGGAACTCCCCTGGCATCTTCTCCAGGAGGCACAAAAATTGATGCAGTGACCACCAAAGAGATACAGAGAGCAAAAGCAAGAAGTGGCACACAAAAGAGTCACCCTTCCCTGGCAGCACCTGCAGCTTCAGGAACACACTACCTGTGACCTATCACTCTATTTCTAACAAGTCACCTACACTGGAAGTGACCCAGAAATGCTCCTACCCAACCAGCCACTTCTCCTTGTCAGGTTAACTGTGAAACCCCACAACGATCTGCTGATAGCTCAAGACAAACATGCCTGATGAGAAGTTGGTTTTAAGAATTAAGCTTTCTAGTCACTGGCAGTAGAGAACATGAAATTCAGCAAGCCATGACAACTGTGCAGCTTGCATGGCTCTTGACAGGCTCAAAACCACAGCCTTTGGAATGCCCCTTCTGCCATTTCCCAACCCAAACCATTTGGCTACTGCAACTCCATCAGAGCCATCGCCCCACCAGTGAGAAATGAGGCTGCTGCAGACACTGAGTGACAGGATCTGAGAATGCAAGCTGCACAACTTCTGGTCAGAAGGGATTTTATCTGCAACAAGAATATGGCCAGGACTGCTAAATGCTTCAGCATCTGACTGAAGTGGATTAATCCCATTTACATGAGCAGTGTTCAGTCCTGCTCTCCATGGACCCATTGTCAGCATTAGTCAGATATGGAGCACTCACAGAGGATAATCAATGGTGAACTCCAACATGGAGCTTCAGATGACCATATCCTAACAGTTTCCAGCAATGAGAAGATGGTAGGTGGATCTCTATTTCTCCCCTTCTTCAAATACCCTTTTCCTTTGTCGCCAGTAAGGCAGAGGCAGGGTCTGCACAAAGTGCAGTGCATCTGCTATGGAGGGTTTCATTCACTGTCCCCCTCTCAGGGAAGTGTATCCACAGCCCTGAGACACAGATTGATGTGAAGAGCCACAGTGAAGTCAGTGTGACTACGTGCAAGGACATTATATCATGAGCATGTCTATTATTTATAATGAAATTAAGCTGGCCAAGATAATTAATGCTATTAATATCTGCACAATGATGAGCACAGTATGACTAGATAAATAGGTGGAATTACTTCTTATCTGAAATATCCTCCCATCTGACTAGTAGTGAACCCAAAGATAAACAGAGAGGATAAACAATTTGGTATGAAGTGTTACTGTTGTTTTTAATTATCTAATACCTATATATCAGGTGCTGAAGAGGCAGAGCTACTTGTGCTACAGTCTGGGGTGCTTTGACAATATGGTCCATGCCACAGTGCACTGGCAATATTATGACATGAAAAAAGGCTTGGGGGAAGGGAGAATTCAGGCAAATTGAGACATTTTCACACAACGGATTTTGCGCATTCTTTCACAGAGAAAACATTCAGACAAACTCTATAGTATCTGGCAGGACCCTGCAACTCAACACACCAGGCTCCATCACCTCTTACCACGGCTGTCTAATATGATAGTAGAGACTCCAACTGAGCACAAGAGGGCCCAAAAAGAAGAGAAACAATGACTTAAGGGCAGAGTTTCATCATGAACTTCAGCCTCCTTTATTGTCATCAACAGAAGGCACAATTTTAACTGAACTCCTAGAGAGGAGGAGGAGGAGGTGGAATTTAATTTGCCTTCCTGTGAGAAACTGAGAGCAGAACACTCCTACTTGACCTCTTTAACCTCCTAATCTCCCAGGACATTCACTGTGTACAACAATACAACGCAAATGGATCTATAGACCCACTGTATTTCCTAAAGAGATGGTCACAACAATGCAAGTGTTTTTCAGATACACATCCATCTAATTTATTGAAACAATAGATTTGGGAGGAGTTGGTGTAAAAAGTCACTTATACTTTTAAGCTAAACAGCTAAAGAGTATATGTAAATCTCTTTAGCTCTTTAGCTTAAAAGTATAAGTGACAAAGTTCTGTCTCAGATAAAAATCAACTATTGCTTTAAGTAATTTTCCATCTTTGCACCTTAGAGTTTCTAATTAAATCATCTTGAAAGGAGCCATTTGTGCTGCTCTTTTTTTTAAGAGAAAACTAAATTCCTGTCTAAAACCACTCAGACAACATACAAAATAGGATGCAATTTATACTACAGAAACTCCATTTTAAAATATTTTAAGGAAAGGACACAAACCCACAAATATCTTAGAGATTAAGTCTATAAACACTAATCAGTGATCCCATTTTTACTTGCAGTATGGGCTAAGCACTGCAGCACTGTAAATGCATGCACTATTCAGCAAACTGTGGAACATGCAGCTCAGCAGTAAGTATTAAAGAAACAGTCCAGATTTTTTTTTAAGCTTTCATATTGAGTTCCTGCCTTTATCTTTTATTTTTTTTTCCAATTAAAAAATGTCGAGATCTTAACATCAGGGTAATGCCTTTTGTGTTTGCTTCTTAGAAACCATTACAGAGGCAGCTCTTGTTTCATAGTCTGTTTATCTTCAAACTTATATTTAGAAGTACATTGTAACAGGGTGAGCTGCTCCCAGGTTTATTTTTAATTCCTAGATACTGTCACACACTATGTTTGTGTGTCACAGAATGTGAAAACTAATACTAGATGCCAAAAAAGCTTAAGCACTACCAGTTACCAACAAGCTGATAGCGTTAGGTTGTTAGGTGATTATAATTGCTGGTAACTTTGAACACAGGCATGATTTAAAGTGAAAAATAAAACTATTGAAAAAAATTAAGTTTACCTCCTCAAGAAAATAAGTTACACTCTAAATGTGAAACCGCATGCTGGGAAACAAAGGCAGGGTTGTACCTAAAATAGAGGAGAGTGCCGAAAAGAGTATTATTAAGTGATTTACCTTGGCAACAGCTTTGCTTTCAGAATTATTGTTGGAATCCTTAATGCCATTTAATGAATCTCTTCTCTGTGGGCATGGCTTCTTTTTGCGCGGTCTGCCTTTAAGATTTGGCGCTGAAAATTAATGGAGAACATTAATTTGAGAAGAACTTTGAGCACATTGTCTTATACTGGATGCTTAACAGCCAAAAGCATAATAAATAATTCCACTACAATCACTCACAGAAATGTACACATCTGTCTACAGTAAATGCTTATTACGAGATTCCTGTCCTCTGTGGTTACATCTTGACACACTATACATTTCCATAGAACATCCCCCAAGGCTAATCTAGTCTACTTTCACATAACTAATTAATATTAAGTCAAACACTGGTCTCCCAAGGAATCAGAGAAAAGGCACAAATATTTCTCTCTGGTACAAAAAAGAACAAAATTTAATATTAATAGGCAACTTTAATCACCCTGCTGCCTTTATTTTTAATCTTCAAGCAAGAGTACTAACTGCTATTTCCAACTTTGGGCAACATCTGGCACTGGAAATGCTCTGAAATATTGAAATTCCTTACAGCTCCAAGAAATGTTTATATATCCTGTCAGTCTTGTCAAAGTTTTTCTAAAAAAGTTTAAGAAAAAAATAAAAAAATTACCCCTGAGTCTTGAAAGGGATAAAAAAAACTCCTTAACAACTAGTTCTGGAAGTTGACAAGTACTGAAATAAGTGATTGATTGTTTCATAAGGGTTACATACCACACATACAAATTAATGTGAATCACTTTCAGTTTTGTCCAATTCTTAAGATAAAACAGCTCTGAAATAACACAGTGACTAAATCCTAGCTGTGCTGAGCCATACGAGGAATGGGATATGGATCATCATAAAAAATATCACACTCATCTTTCAATAGTGCTATTACAACATAAATTAGATCATATATAGAAATAACAGATGAAGCAGATGTTTGCTCATTATTACACGTCCCCTCTGCTTTCAGATTTAAAAATCAGCCTTGGACTACTATGGCAACATTTAAAATTATAAACAATCACTAACTAATGACTGTAGAAGTCATGAAGAAGATAATTTCCTTTAAATCTTTAATTTTTAGGTAACCATTGTTTTCATTACTTAAAGGGATGATTAGAACAATGTCAGAAATCTAAACATCACAAACCTCTTGAGTGTCTTCTAATTGTTTCTAATCTTCCATTTGTTACACAGTAAGCCAGTGGTTTCAGGACATTTTACATTTTAATTAGTTTGCAAACACAATAAAGGGTGCTAATTTGATTTTATAGTTTGAGTAGCACTTTCTTATTTGGTCTGTTCAGAGAAAAAGAAAACCTTTGGGTTTAAAATAAAAATATCCTTTTTCTTCCCCCAACACTGGTGTAAGGTAAAAAAAAATAAATCTATATGTGTATGAGTATATATATATGCGTGTGCATATGGGAGTAAGTCCATATTCGTGTCTATCTAAAAATACATATATCTCCCTACAGAAATATCTCCATTTATCTCCCGTGAAGCACATTCTGCTTATTGAAAAGTACTGCAGAAAGCAATTCTGAAATTGTCATCTGAGGCTAACATGCAAAATTAAACAAAGAGAGAAAGAAATTATTACCCATTCCAGCCGACAAACATCTGCCTGATTTATATCAGTACTCATGAATGCTACAGCATGTGACTGCACACCACGTCGCTGGAGTCCCAACGTGGTGTGGATGTCAGTCTGACACAAAACGAGCACTGAGAGTGAGTGTTTGCTCCGTGCTTACACATCCCCTCCCCCAGCCGCTCCATTACTCATCCAAACAGAGATGAGCGGCTCGGCGGCAGCGTGGGATGAGCTCCGAGGGCTCCAGCGCCGGCTGCCAGCTCTGGCCACGCCGCCCTGCCTTATTTATAAACCCCGCTCAAGCTTTGATGTCCTCCGGATGCCTACAGGGAGTTTTCTGGCACACGACCTGGATGGGACGGACAGATCCTTAGTCACGGGCTGCCTCAGCAGTCGCTGAGTTCTTTAAAAAGGTACTGAAGGAAACAGAAATGTTCCCGCAATTTACTACCCTTTGGCATACGTATTAAAAGATTAACCTTTGAATGAAAGGATCCCCAGGCCTGGCCCAACCAATGGCCAAAGAGGGATGTGGCTGAGCTACCATCAAACATATTTGTATGTGAGCTATTTGTCTTTTCTTTTGTTCCTTCATTCTGTTCCTACTTTTTAACAAATAAAGAAACTAGTTCAAGGCTCAATGTTTTTCAAACACACTTGTTATCTTGAGTTTTGGCACTGTACTTTGCATCACACTATAAAGCACTGCTAATGTTTTGCTAAAAGCTTTAAAAGCAAGAAGGCATTTGTTCCTAAATTCCAGGTATATTGAGCTTGCATATAAACACTGTTTGAATTGGAGCTTTCCACAGCAGAACTGGCACAAACCCACTATGAAATGGGGTATTTGCATTCTCCCTGTGGCTCAGGAGCTGCAGCAGGGAAGGTTTGTCTGCAGCACACACAAGGACCATCCCGCACGCCCCATGGTATGGTTTTAAATCACCTAGAGCCACTTCACATCTGACACACAATTAACAAGTAAGCAGCAACAGGAATTATTATCAGAAGAGAAGGTCCTGGCATCTAATATCTACTCTGTAAAAGAAAACATTTGACATAGTCCCAAATCACACTTGAAACAAAGCCATTAATATTTGCTCCCTAAACCATTATAAATAAACACATTATATGAAGATTATTGCATTTCAGTGACATTCATTTTGTTCGTGTGAGCGAGGAAATATGACTAGGACAGAAGAAATAATTTACAAGTCACATTCATGTTTCAATTTTGTCATCTTTTGTTTAATTTTTGACATATTCATGAGCATGCTGCAAGTGTCTTGAATTTGTTATTCATAATTATTTTAAAGCAATTTTATACATTTTGTGGCTTAGTCACATTCAGTTTTCCTGATGATGTTAGATGTTCAGTATGTACTGGACAGCTAAGTGAGTATCCTATGGGTTTTCTTCTGTTTTCTAGTGGAGAAGGACTTCTGGCATGACTACCTAAGAATATCCAAAATGATTCACTTTCTTCATGTGTTTGTGCATATGGCTTTCAGATTCATTTTCTGAAAGCATTGTGGCAGTGAGGCCTGATAATTTACACATTCCCAGAAGGCGAGAGCATAAGCAAAGAAAATTGAAGTAAAAAAAAATGAATAAATAAGTACAGAAAAAAGTTTGCATTATTTGCTACCTCTGGTGTGAGTGCTTATAACAGGCGTATGAGAGAGACAACACAGTACCAGTAAAAGTAACTTTCTTTCCTGTGTAATTGACAAAGTGATTGCCTTTTGCCAATGTGTAAATTATCAGGCCCACTGCCACTGCCACTGCCTAGAAGAACTCCCAGCTCTGGTTTTACCCCAAGAAAGACAGGTTGTATGCAGGGCAAAGATAAATACACAAAAGTGGGAGCTGCCAAAATCAACCATGACCATTAACACTGTTTACAATGGAAAAACATGGGCTGCCACAACAAGACAGCGCATTCACCTGCCACCTTCTTTTCCTATGCATCCAGGATGGGGAAGTAATTACAGGGCTTGCCATCTCCCTGTTATCAGGTCAGCCTCACCTGAGCTACATCCACACTGATAATGCCATGAATAAACCAAGAAATAATGGCTGTTGTTTTGGGGTACCTGAATTTAGCAGGTCACTTACTGTAAAATGACCTCTTTTTTAGAGTTTGATTATCACTGGAGGTCCAGGGAGTTCAACTCTCCCAATAACACTGTTCTCTACATTCACATATTTTGGCTGATGCAAAAGATTTGTTGTTATAGGGAGGGTGTTAAAAAAAATAGTGGCCTTCACAGAGCTGAGGTCAAGCTATGTTGGCACTTTGTCAAAATCAGTGGTGTAGCCAAGAGTTTTTAATGAGCCTGGAATGCATTACCTCATTTTTCATACCTGGATCACTTACTCATGTTGAGCCCAAAATAACCTTGGACCTTGCTGGCTGCTCAGCAAACCATGTAAGTAAACAAGTACTGTACTCATGCCTAAAACATGTATCTTTTAATTGTTTGCTCCACATTTCTTACTCTAGAGCACATCTAAGCAACTGTAATGCCCGTGATCAAAGTTCTTGCCTTTCCAGGCCTCTCTGACCTGGGTAACTATTTCCTGATACAACTTTTGATTCTGGCCTGCTGATACTCCAGGTTCTCAGACACACTTCAAAAGTAGGAGAAAAAAAAAAAAAAAAAAGAAGGCCATTGCCATATTTTGCTAATAGACTTACAACTTACACTGCCAACCAGATTCTTCTGGCTGCCTGCTGTTTTCTGTGACTATGTTTTGTGAAAAGATGAAGGAAGAACAACAGCATATTTGCCAACTGCAAAAATCAATTAAAAAAACACAAACAACTGAGCTTCTAAAAATCTCCACAGCCATTGACAAAGAAGGGCCAGCAGAAGATCTGGGTCTACATTTAGGGTGGGCTCACACAGTCAGGTGAGCTCTAAATGCAGAGCTGGGAGTGTACCAGAGGGAGGCAATCACAAACCAAGATTTAGGTGGAGCAGTGGAAGTTGCTAGAAGTGAATGAACAGGGATGAGCAGTGGTGCTGGATTCAGAAGAGACACGAGGCAGTGGCAGCACAGCTGCCAAATGCATCCACCGCCATTCTTCCCTGAAGGACACCTTGCACAGTGTCCCCTCACAGAATCCTCCTGCACTGTGCCAGTCCTTCACATGTCTTCTGCACAAAAGCTGTGATACCAGAATCCTTGGCTCTAAGCTGCAAAACCATCAGTACATACAGAACAGATTAGGAGATCTCCTCTCTGAGGCAGGTGGAAATGGCAGCATGTGTTAGATCCCAGAGCTATTCATGAGTCAGGTGCCAAACAGAAGCTGGAGGTGGCATATGGAGGCGCCTGGCCATCAAAGTCAAGGTGAGAAGAATGGCCCCAGATCTCCACAAAATCCATGAACTGACCATGCCTGTTAGCAGGTGGCAAACAGCTGGTTGCTGAGGACATCCCTAATACAGCCTGGCAAAAGTCAGCTCTTGGCTGAAAAACACG